TACCATCTTCATTTTCTGCCAGACACAAGTCTTTTATCCAGGCGTCCATCAAAGGGCTATTTTGATGTGATTAACTTAATGTGTAACATGATTTTATTTCATGATCTATCACTATAAAAACCAAGAAAGGTTCATAATACATTTAAAACAAACATTGCTTTTGCAATAACAATTAAAAGCATGTGCCTCTTATGGAGCCCAAAATAAGATCAATGTCTCCTGCAATTTAAGACCATGACAAAAGCAATGGGTTTAAAAGCAGAGAGTTACACTGCTAAGGCTTTGAATATCAGAGCTGAGGAACTAGTTGCACATTTTCCATTATAGTGATTAGAAGATGTAGGGTTACATATACTTTCCGAGTTCCAATCTGCATTCTTAAATAGGAATGACAACATTATACACAAATTATAAGGGACAATGCAATAGATTGTCAGCAGGGTTAATTTCCAACTTTATAGCTAGTTGTCTTTGGTTGGGTTCTTAATGCTCTTTATACAAATACTGTTCTTTCCCCACCTTCCATGTGATTCTTCCTGCTGCAAAAGAGCCTTTTGTTTAAAAAACTTCCCAGTGATTACAGAACAGATTTATTTATTATTCAGATGGCTCATTTATTAAGAATAAATAATTTAAATATATTTTCTTCTTTTTAATTAACACATTAGCAGTTGCAGCATACATAGAAAGTAGTGTTTATATTTATACTCACTTCTCAGGCTGCTTGTTCTATTCTACTTGAGGGCCACCCTACTTATTTATTAAAAACTCCTGACCTGAACAAGTCTCTAGAGAAATGCTCACAAACTTCTGGAGAGGAAATGAAGCCTGCGCTAGCAGTAGCAAAGTGCTACATACATTCTGTTCAGGTCCTCTAATGTTCAAGGCAAATTTAAACCCATGGAGCAAAAGAGCAAGTAACCAGGAAAGCCCTAGGCCTAGTTCAGACTTGTTGTAAAGAAACATAAATTACATCAGTGTCATTGCTGCTGCATTCGGCACACATAAAATCCATTACTTTATATGGCTAACAAAAAGACATTTTACTTCCATTCTATTGAAAAAGTGGATACTTATTTCACTACTTGATTGCAATACCAGACTTTTATGTAGCATATTAAAATGCATGCTCTATAATGCTATCTTTTAAATCTATTTTATTCTTTACAATGGCGCATGTGTTCTTCTCCCTTTTGTTTTCCCAACAGGAAAACATACTGCCATTTTCTTTGGTCATACATAAACTTCTTCTAAATCTAATCAAATTGAGATTCCTGTGGTATGTTTATCTTTTTTTTTTTTTTTTTTAAACTATATATATATAAGTTTAACATTGTTTGAATCATGGCTTTAAGCGCCCAATCAGGTTATATGCTTCCCATTTTTTGGTGTTATGCAAAAATAGAGCAATGTCCTAAAGTAAAGCAATAGAATAGAAGAGTAAAGTAAAGAATGGTGAACCTTTGAGCCTGATCCTATAGTTAATATTACAATGGGGTTTGCTATAGGATCTGTATTATATATATTTATGTACTGAAATATTTTGTATGGAAGACAAAGTGATTTTTATAATGTTGAAAAGAATCTTCTTTCACCATTTGCTTTATTTTCAATGCTTAGGTTGTTTTCTAAGTAATGGAGTCTAATACCCTTAACATTAGTGTAATACCACTTTGTACCTGAATGTTACTGCTAAGCTATCTTTTCTTTATTACTTAGGAAAACTGATATTCACCATGATATTATAAATTTTTATTCAGCAAATATGATCGTCATGATAGTTAAAACTCCCAGTTAAATATCCTGATAATCCTGACATAGAATTGACCATGACCTTGAAGCTATCCAGATTTCCTCAGCAAACTTCGTCTGTCAGGGTTAAATCCCCTCCTCCACCAGTATCTTGAATCCACACTGGGGAAATTATGATAAAAATAATCTTTACATCTCTAGACTCAAATGGATCTTTCTGATTGACTGCCTCTGATGCCAGGTCCATGTCAATAATTCTCAGTGAATGCATAGCTATGACCTTTTCCCCCTTGTCTTAGAATTTCTATTTTACAAGACCAATAAAACATGTCAGAACAAAGTGGTGGTTCTAGACACGTGAATGGATGGATCTCAGGTCAGAGCTAATCCTTCAGCAATGTTCTGCTTGGGACTAAACAATACATTTTTCTACTGTAATCCTTCTGTCACAAACATATATAAGCAAAAATTGCAAGCTACACTCATTCAATTACACAGTGATTAGGCAGAAAGAGTAAATTGAATAAAGGATTTTCAACTTGCTTTCTTAATCCCTGGGAAAGGCTGCAGAAGTTAATGGACACACCTGGTAGCAAAGCAGCATAAAATGTAGGACTTAATGGCAATTATTTACTTTAAATTTTTGCATAATGCTACATCATCATTATTGTTTGTAAATATTTCTGTCTACATCCACGACTTGTATAAGACACCACCAGCAGACCATAGAACGCCCAGGCTGTCATGTCAATAAACAAATACAATCAGGTAAAAAGGAGAACACTTTTTGATTAAGGTAGCAGAGCTGAAATTAGTTTTTGATCCTGACACCAATATAACATTATCCATCAGTGAAGTCCCTTCATCTTTTGTACTCCAGATCCCTGCTTGTGGAATGGGGTAGTATTTGTCATGTTTCATTTCTGTTATTTGTCTTATTTATTTAGACTATAAGTTGGCTGAGAAGAGAGATGCATCTTTCTGTACAGCATCTGTCTTGTAAACCTGCTTTTTAGATACCATCACCAAATCAGTTATATTACAGATTGTTAGTAGTGGGTTAATTCTTAAAAAGGTATATTTTCCAACTTTAGCTTTTTCAAATTCTTGCTAGTTCACTGTATGAAAATACCCTCTGCTGAATTATGTTGCTGTGTTTATATGTATACTATTTCGATGTGTTAGACCATAGGTCATATTTCTAACCTTTCTGAAAGTGGGATATTGCATTATGGACTTCTGTTGCCGCTTGCCACATATCTTTCTTTTTCCTTTTTTTTTTTTTTTTTTTAAGATATATAATCCTGTAGACTTTAAAGTTCCTTCTACCTCTTTGCAGTCTTTGTCAGACTGACTGCTATATATGTGGACAATTTTGGCCAGGACCACATGGATTTACCCTGTAATTCCCCTTCATGTTGCTAGTTAAACCTCTCTGCAGTGTATTTAATGTTTGCCTCCAGGTGATGGATGCTTGAGCACTCAACACAGCAGTTCGCCTTTAAAAAAATCAGCTGCAGTGCACAGGGCTGGTTTCACAAGGCAGGTAGTGGTGTGCTCCCAGCTGGGTACTGGGAAGAATGGGCAAGCCTTGGGTTGTAAGCTGAAGGTGCTTTTGAGCTGTTTGCAGGAAACTCTTACTGTGCATACATAGCAAACATTGTTTTGGAATGTTTAATGCTTCGGGGGTGGAGGAGTTTCCACCTAACAGAAGTGACTTATAATAGCTGAATTCCTCATCAAAAAAATCTTGCTCTGTAGAAACATGAGAAATAACTGAATGCTGGCAAAAATTATTCTTTCTGTGCATAGTTGTGGTATGCCAAATTATTTTACTGATTATTTTCCCTAATTTTTCTTTATGCCTGTTCCATTCCAGCTCACAATAGAGATTATAGGAAAGCAGATTCCATAACTAATTAGCTGAGCAACCAAAAAGCGCATTAGAATTTTATTCCAAGTGATGTAACTTGAATTTTTTTTTTTTGTTTTGTCTGGATGAAGTGGAACAGTACATGTATGTTTCCAGCCTCCTTTTCTAGCAGATGAAGCATTCCATCTTAGGTTTGGAAAAGGGCTCAGGTTCTTGTCTCTGTGTCCCATTCCACTTTCTGTGTGTGTGTGGTTGGCAGGAAGAGGAGAATCTTGTCTTCCATCTAGTCAAAGGGATTTGCTCGATGAATCATGCTGCTAGCAATACATATAGAGAAAGATAATGGAAACGAATAATGGTAAAGACCCAAACCAAAATGATTTTACCCAATGACAGATGTCTTCTAAGTGTTGCATGGGGTTATGTAGAACATACCCCAGTCTTGCTCTTTGGTACCCATTATTTAACTGATATTCCTACGATTTCATCAGAGCAGCCTGACCTTGTTCTCTGTCAGAATGACAGCCCTCACAAAGTCAAGTGATTAACAAGCATACGCGGAGCTGCGATTCTGTTGTGAGTACTTGCCTTCCAGGGTGAGGTGGTTCTGATGAGCAGTTTATGGGATAGACCACCAATAAGACAACAGTTGAATAAGGAAGGGGACCCTGCAGTAATTCCTTGTAGCTCTCCCAGCCTGTCTGGAGCTGCTATCTTGCAGCTAGTGTAGCTTATGCTCTTACAGTGAGTGTCCTCACGTGTGCCTGTGCTTTCTCTCCAGCATCTCTCAGCTGGCTGCAGTCCTGAATGCGGGTCTCACCCGGGCATGATTTCGTGGACCCCACCACACAGCTTTCCTTGCCCTCACAGCCCGCTCCCACATCCCTCCTGCGCTGCTCTGAGCCTCCCCAGCGCAGTCTCCATCTCTGAGGGTTGAAGTCTTCTCCATTCCTTATTCATTTCTCCACTTTACCAAAACCTTTGCAATTTATTCTCTTCCTCCAACAAAATCACTTCGCATTCTCTTCCCAAACTTTCTTCTTACCTCGGATTTCCACGCTCTCCTATTTATCCTCCAAATTTACTAAACTGTTGCTTTAACTTTGGCCTGTGCCTTTCTTCCAGGCGCCACCTCTGCCTCTTCCTGCCCCTCTGCTCTTTGCACTCTCCCCCAAAGCCTCGTTTTTTCACTCGCTGTCCCCCGATCCCCGGCCCACCGCGCCCTTTCTGGGTTGCCGCCTCACCCACGCCACGCGGCGGCCTGCCCGGGGAGGTGGGGGGGCGGGGGGAGGCGGGAACACGCCACCTGCACGAGCAGGTGCGCGAGCCCGCCCCGCCCCGCTCCGTTCCCCTCACAGCCGGGCCCGCCGGCGCTGCCCTCGCAGCCCACCCCACCCCCCGCTCATGAATATTCATACCTCCCCTCCCCGTGACGTCGCCGCGGTCCTGGGGCGGGAGCCGGAGCCGCCCCGGTGCTGGCGGTGAGGGCGAATGACGGAGCGGCGGCAGCCGCTGCCTCCTCCCGCCCGCCTCGCCCCGCAGACAGCCGCCGGGAGCCGCCGCGTAGGGCGGCGAGTCGGGCGCGGAGGGCCGGCGCCGCGGCGGGGATGCGGCGGCGCCGCTGCTGCTACTGCTGCTGCTGCTGCTGGGGGCCGGCGGAGCTGCTGCTGTTGCTGCTGTTGCTGCTGGGGCCGGGACCGGCGCTGGGCAGCCCGCTCGCCGGCAAAGGCAGGTACCGCGGGCGGTCGCCCGTGAGCGGCGGGGCCGGGGCGGGAGGGTCGCCGTCCGCCAGCGCGCGGACGGAGCGCAAGTGCTCGGGCGGTGGGGAGGGAGCGCGGGGCCCGAGCTCGCGGCGAGGGGCGGCGGGGAACGGGCGGCCGCGTTGCTGCGGGGCTCTGAGGGGAGCCGGGCGGGGCGGTCACCCCGCGGCGGGGTGACTCTCCCCGGAGAGGCGGCGAAGCAGAAAGTTTGGCGGGGGCGGGGGGCCGCTTCCTCGGCGGGATCCCGGTAACTCGGTGCCCGTTACTTTTTCGGGCGCGCCCGGCGGAGGGGGGGACGCTGGAAGCGGACGAGCTGAGCGGGAGGTTCCGCTCCTCGGGGCTCCGGGGGCCGCTCTGGGAGTCCGGCGCGGGTGGGAGCGGCGGCTTGGCGGCTCGCGCGTGGGCTGAGGTCTCCTGGCTCAAGGTAAAGGGCCAGGATGGGCTGAAAGGAGGGAAGCGGCAGAAGATGACGGCAACTCTCAAGCTTTTGGGGAGACCGTGACATCGAGTTCCTCGGAGCATCCGCAGTCCACGCTCGGCTCCCCCACTTACCGACGCCTGTCAGGACGCGTGGGCTGTCGCGCGTTTACTGAACTTGCAGTTGTGCGCCAGTTCCCCCGCGGGGCTCCCGCGCAGCCCCCGCCCGGGCGCAGGGCTCTGCTCTCCCGGGTGTCAGGGTCTGCTTTCCTTGGGTTGTTTTCCCGTGGCATTGTTTTCTTGCAGTTCTGGTCTGACTTTCTAGCCCCGAGTTTTATAAACTTAGTTTTGAGAACTCTGCCTCACTTTATTTTATATTATTTAATAGCAGTTCTCTTCTTTTTACTTTTATATGAGGCTTTGCCTGTTAATTTACTTGTGCATGTGTGTGTGCGAGAGAAGAGGGAAACTTCGGTGTTTGTTTTTTGTTTGTTTGTTTTCTTAAAATAACTGGAGGAGTCAGAACTCGGAGATGAAACTGATTCTTTCCAGCAAACATCACCTTAACTTTCTTTGCATAAACTGTATGAATAGCAGAAAGTAACTGTGAAGAAGAATTGCTACTTCTGCTTACAACCCGACGTATACCTTGAGGTTCTGGTGGGATATAGTGGTTTCTGGGAGGATTAACTGCGATATAACGAATAACATGGAACATTTTGATGGAGGGGAATTATTTTCCTCCTCTTTACTTTTTATGTATCTTAAGGTAATTATCTCCGTTATATAGATCCTTCTTTTTAGACAAGTATGAGAGTTTTCAGTTTGTGGGAAACGTTTTCTTAAATGCTGCAGGTAGTAGTTCATCAAACAAATGGGAGTAGTTTTCTTGTTGGGTCTACTCTATTTGACCACTGGAGGGCTGCAAAGAGCATTTTTGGATAACTAGCCACAATTTAGCAGTATTTAGTGTTTAAAAATAGACATTTTAAGGGCATTTATATTGATGTTTAAGTGCTTTAAGTTTTCACTTAGTATTTGACATATCTTGTTTGTTAAAATTAGATATCATCAAAGACTATAATGCAGAATTAATAAATGAAATAACGTATCTTGGCACTGTATGGAGTTGATATCTGATATATTTATCCCTGTGGACTCTTCCTTCCCCCCTCAAGCATTTTGTGGGTATCACACACACAAGTGAGAAGCTTTCTGATAGTACTGTAACCATAAACTTGAATTTTAGCTTGAAGGTGGGTGTGTTCTGGTTGGAGATGGAGGAAGGCTGTAGTCCGTACAAAGCTCCTCTGGTGCTTTAAGGATCATGGTGTAGAGAGTAGCAAAGACAATCTAAGATAATGATTCTAAGTCTCATCCTATCTTATCTACTTCACTGTGCTCTGCTGCTCCTCATTTAAAAAAAAAAAAACAAAACAAAAAAACAAAAAACCCCAAAACAAACAAAAAACAAACAAAAAAAAAAACAAAAAAAAAAACCCCAAAAACAAAAAAAACAATCTGCCCCCCCCCCCCCCCCCTTCCTTTCCGCACATCTTTTTTACTATGGGGGAAGATTATAGAAACAGTCCTGGTTCTCCCAGTTCATTCAATAGAAGATACAAATTTCTTCCACAAGATATCTCTAGGCTGCAAAATTTGTTTACTCTTTATAGAAATGGACAAAACAAGGTTCTCTGAAGTTTTCCATGGTAAAGCAAATACAAGAGGTAATGCCATAATGTTTAGTAGGCGGTCAGTTACAGAACTTAATCTGTGTGTCATATATTCATATGCAGTTTGTGGCTTTGCTTTCTAGCAGGTGGTTGACTCTGGGATCTTTATCATAGGTTCCAATAAATTTGCCGATTTGGTCAGAAAAATGTTTTCTTTAGAGCATTTTCAGACAGCTTTGTTCAATAAGATGGAGAGGCACACTTTCTGGATTATTGGAATTGCATTAATGATGACTGGAAATTGTATGGACTGTCTCTCATGGTCTTCAGTTAGGTAAAACAGCATATGCTGAAGGGTAAGATTTTTTTTTTTTGCACATTCAAAATTTATAGGCACATGTGGTTGCAGACGGGAGAAATACTATCTGCAGCATTTCACTTTTTCTTTCTGTTTCTCCACAAATCTATGCATAAGGTGGGTCTCTTCAATTAATTATTATCTTAGTATATACTATTAAACTACTTGCTGAAGTCCTAAAAAGGTTGCTATATCCAAAATCCTTGTGAGACCCAATTAGTCAGATTTTCAAGTTTGACTGTATTTGAACTTCGTCAGGAACATAAACATAATTTTAATCTTAATTTTTAAGTACAGCTGAAAGCATCTCAATGATCTGAATAACTAAGAATATTTGATTTCAATTAAATTAATTACATGGACAAAATTTGAAGTCTTAGTCAGTCAGGACATTTCCAAATCAATGGAACATTCAGTCCCACTTGGCAAGTCTATTATGTGAATACATCTGATATGACTATCAGTGGTAGAAAAACAACTAACCCAGGGAGACAGAGCCAGCATAGTTTGCATAAAAGAAAGCTTAAAGCCTAGGGGGAAGAAATTGAAGGAAAATCTTGAACATGCTAGACAGATCCCAGTGTCTGAATTTTTCTGTATAACACTATGGTTTCTTTCTTTTTTTTTTTTTTTTTTTTAAGTAAATAATAATGAAATACTTTTCTACATCAGTTCTAAGGAGAGAGATAAAAATGTAAGAACCTTCTTTTCATCCTCATTCGAAATACATAAGAAGTAATGTTTGGTGCACTGCTTGGGTCAGAAGATGGGGGGATGAAGCAACCTTGCTTTGCTTTCTGTAGGTCACCAGGAAAAGGTGGAAAAGGCATACAAATGGTTTCATATTTCTATTTTCTCATCAATAAATGGAGGTAGAAATACTAATTTTCAGGAATACTTTTTTTTTTTTTATTGAAGTGTTTTGATTGAATAGCAGTTCATGAAAACTGACTCTTCTGTCTCATAGGGTAAAAGATTCATCTGGTTATGAAGTCTGGGTGTCAAGATAATGAAATGATTCAGAGGTCTCAAAAGACAAAAATCAGAGTATTTGAGAAGTGCTTTAGTATTCAGGTATTTCAGCACAGAAGACTGACAACTATATTTAAGTTGTCATTACAAAGCTAGAGAATGTTTGCCAGCCATAATCATATTGTAACCAATTTTAATTGCATTATTTGGAAGGTTACCAAAACTGGGAACCTAAGAGCTTTGGAGCTTTCAAAACATATTTCAACTGTAAGCAAAGTGTGTGCCACTTAAAGAAAATCCTATAAGGTATGTTTTTTGTCACCAAACATAGAGTGGCATGAGAGCTGTGTGGAGTCATAGTTTTGTTGCCTTTTTTTTTTTTTTCTTGAAACGACAGAGTTTGAAGGCACGATCTGCATCTGAATAAACCTCATGGCCAATTTATACACTTGAAAGTGGCCTCAGTTTTCTTCTACTTTTTAAATATTTGGAGAAGTGTGTGAAAGCTGGTCTGAAGCTCTCTGAGGCACTGTCACCTTGTTTTGATTATTTACCGTTTAACTGGAAACGTTTATTGATGATCCAGTACTCTTCTGCATCCATTAGACATTAAAAAAACAGAGAAAAAGAATGCAAATTACTAGTTTTATGTAGTTACAACTTGATGTATGTTATGAAACAGATGTTATTCCTAAGGCTCTTGAAAATAAAGATTCATGATAATGTTATTTAATATCTGATAAAAATGTTAGAGGATAAATTTTCTCATACGCTTATTGTGTATCAGAGTTTCTATGTGAGATTGACAGGACGCTTTGGGTAAGTATTTCAAATGCCTAATTCCAGCTTCAGATATGCTTCCTTTCCTCTCTGTACATATATTCTGGGCGTCCCCTTGGTCTTCATTTTGACTTAGTTGCCTCAATGTGGTTTGTTTCTGTTTCTCGTTTGTTTCCAAGGTTGTATTAGAAGGTGACAAATAGCTTGCCTGGCTCCTATAGAGTGCCTGAGTGGTGTAGCTAGCACTTCATTTAGTAGAGAGCACTTCCCTACTGTGAAATAAGTAATGGGAAAATGAAAGATAAAATACATTGTTTCTATAGCAAGCTAATTGATAGTGTCAAGTGTAGTTCCCTGTTGTCTGTAGCCTGTTTTTGTAAATATGGCAAATAACCACGTCCTGATATTCAAAACATGTTTAGTGTTACTTAAAGTTGTGTAAGTGTAATTTTAAAAGACAAATTTAAAAACCCAGTAGCAGTGGGATTTGTTGTGGCTCAACTTTACAGTTTGTTGGTCTATGGAGAGGACCATAAACTAAGTGTAGCTCTTCTCAGAGACTTTTTTCCCCCCCTGCCCACTGGAATCCTTAAAAAAGAGCAATCTGAAAATAATAGGTACGGGATATATATGAAGAGGTCTTGGATTTACCTCTGGCTTTCCTAGTGTCTGTGCTCAAATGGCAGTTTCTCGATCACTCAAATGTCTAATCCCTTTTGATCTGTTAACAAAAATTAACAGAAAAAAAATAACAGTTGCAGTCAA